AAAATTGCAGATAGAATTTCGGTGTTTGCTTTGCTTCGTTGTGTAGGACTGGCATCCATCTATCATGTACACAATTTCTAGCTACCGTACCCCTTTGGAAGGTTGTTTTTTAGCGCCTCAAAACGGTTGGTTCTTGCTATTTCGCAGACCTACATGCCAGTTTATAAAATTCAGTTGCGCCGCTAGAATTATTGACATAATTTTATTTAATACTACTTAATGGGCGCATTCTATGATCATAGTTGCAAATTTATTGGGCCATCCAATCTCTTAAAAGAAATTTATGAAGAGCCCAAATATACCCGAATTCGAGGCGCCGTAAAAAAATTCTCGAAGCTCTAGTAGCCCCAACTTGCTGGCATAGACCAAGCTTGGATAGTCAACTAGAACCCATGCAAATACAAAGCCTTTTCGTGGCAAACGAATTTAGAAGAGCGTCCCAAAGTCGGCTTTTCAAAAACGTTATTTTCGGGGTTTAAATCAAAATCAACCATTAACTTCAGCCAGATCATTCCAGAATTCTGCTTTCAGACAAAGTTCGATGCGTGCTTTAATTGTATCCAACAAACCCGGGTGCCTTTTTCATTTTCAAAAATTCGATTTTCGAGCCAGGGCGTCGGGTCCAAAATCGGGGTCCGAGGGGGGTTTTCCTCTTTCCCTGATAACTTTGTCATTTGCCACAGGAATCAAGTAATTTTTTGCAGGCGCTCTTACAATCACCCAAAGAACAGTCTAGAATCGAAAAACCGTCACTTTATGGAATTTTGTCTTGGCATGCTAAAACGCGCTCCAGGCGGGTTACTGTAGAAAACAGAAAATCGCCGTTTTCTCGTTCTTTTCACCATAGAAACGTTTCGATCTTTTAGGAAAACAAATAATAGTAGTTTTCGGACCGATTCATTAAAATATTTAGAAATTGCCGTGGCTAAATTAAAAAATCAGCTTTTTGTATCTTTGTCGAAAGTGTGTGGCTAGAAATTTGCTATATTTTGCCCATGGCTGCCCCTTACAATTGTTTACCGATGGTAAAATTTTGAGCGAAATCGCAGCTTACAATAAAAAGAAAAACGCGAAAAACAAAAACTACAGTATCCCTCTGGGGCACGTTTTAGCAAGCAATATTAAAATACCATAGAATCAGGTAAAATTTGGTGTTGTGCTAAAGATTATCATTCGGAGATACCATCTGCAAAAGATCAGCCATGGGCAGCGTATTTGAAGCGAGTTGCGAAATAAAAAGTAAAAAGATACAAAACAGTGAAATTTGCTTTGCTTGTAAAAAAAGAACTGGAGCTTCAAAAATTCTAATAATTGGCCATTAGCTTTCTACAAATGCCAACGATTTTTGGGGCAAAAATCAGAATTTTCCCACCACCCGTTCAAGAACGCACAATTTTCGGTCGTAACCAGCGTCAATAGTACAGTTGCGTACTCAAAAATCGAAAAAATCAAGTTGAGTTATTTCCCTATTCCTGACATATTTAAGCATTCTGGCATGGTAACGCACGGTGAAATATGTTTCCTTCTCGAGTTAATTGGGGACAAACTTGGGCACTTTTTTTTGGGACACCCTGTAGAACTGAAAACGTGTGTTCGACCAAAATGGTCAATTTTCGAGCACGATTTCGAATTTTACAAATTTCAAAAAAATTTGAGCTAGTTTTATAGTTTTTTATTTAGTCGAAATATAGTTAAATTATACTAAAAACGGGTGCTTCCTAGTTATCGGGGGCTATCGGGGGCGGGGGGGGGGTTATTTTAGCGGGGATCGGTTGCGAACTTTTTTCTATAATATCGTGCGGCTCGGCTAATTAAAAACTGGCCGTTTTTATAGACTTGTGCGCCGTTTGAAATGGTTCTGGACTGTTAGCGGGGGAGGAGACATTAAGAAAAACGTCATAAAACATGTTGAAAAAAATTTCTTTTTCGGTCTAACGTATATGAAAATGGCTAAAACCGCGCTATAACCCTAGATTTCGTGACTATAGGATAAATATTTTTATAATTTTTGATTATCGGAAGCTACTAAAAACAGTATTAAAATAAACTACAATTTATCGCTAGGCAGGTATAGGCTAAACGAAAAGAAGATGCCAACCGACCCCCGCTAAAATAACCGACCCCGATAACCAGGAAGCACCTTAAAACACTATTGGGGTACTTTTTATTCACAGCATTCCGCCCTTTACCCGTTGTGTTCGTTTGACCGGGACAGGATGGCATGCATACAGGGAAGGGAGAATCTGCGCTCTGGCCCCGCCCCCTGTTCTCTTCCCCCGTGGCCTATAGCCTAGTCTCACTCTTTCGCCGCCTATTCCGCGCCCCACCGCTCCCCGGTGTGTCTGCACCCCGCCGTCTGGCGCACTATCCGCCAGCCTACTCACGAACACCGCGGAATCATGTGTTATTACATTAATTGGTATTTCTAGACTCGTAAAAAAAAATTGGTTTCCTTGGACTACGCAACTTCCCCCCCGATACTGCACAAGAATCTCGCCATAATAGATTTTACCGAAATTTGCAAAAAATAAAGGGTGGAGGGCCCTAGGAAAAACATTAAACCGCCCCTTCCCCCTCGATAATGCAAAAGTACCGTATTTTCAAAAATAACCAAAAAACCCGCGGCGGTGGGGGTTCCCCAAAAAGGGAATTGGCCGGTTAAGTTTTGGCACCAAAAAAAAATGTTTTCACTCCGGGTACAAAGAAGAGGCTCGTTAGAAGAAGGGGAAGAAGAAGAAGAAGCCGTTGAAAGGGGGGGATTTTTCAAATTTGGCGCGACGGGAAGCCAGAAAGGGGAGGGGGGAGGCGAAATTCTGGGAATTCCGGGGGCGGTGGCGGAGGATTGTTTTCCCGGGGGGCCCTTGAAATGAGAAACAAAATTAGGAGTGTTCTGGGTGGGGAGAGGGCCCAAACATTCCGGTGGCAATTATGGGGCCCAGGCACCGCCCTGGCCAGGAGCAGGAGGAGGAGGAGGAGGAGGCAATTTGTTGCAAAGGGCCTACTGGGGCGCCTGAATTTTAGAGTGGAACGAACGGCATCAGAATAGGGCTAGTTCGGAAATATGCATTTTTCTTCCTTTACAAAATTTAAAAATGCTCAAATTAGCCTCAAAAAGGTCCTTGTGCATTATCGGGGGGAGGAGCTATCAGGAAAAAAATACTTTTTTTAGGTAGTAACCAGTTTTCTTACTAAAATCCAGTAAGAGTTTCTAAAATTTTTTTGTATTTCTGATGAAAAATTTACAAATTTTTGGTAAGAATTACAAAAATTTCTGATGTTTCGACCAAAAATAGCCGATTTCGTGCAAAATTTCGAATTTTGAAAGTTTTAGATAGCTTTTCCACATAGCTAAATTTGAGAAAAAAGCTATTCAAATATTTGCTTTTCGTTACTATACATTTCCAGTTTTTTGCGACAAATTTCGGCTCCCGCCTGGTAACCCCGCCGATAAGGAGAAAGAACCTAAACAGTCTAAAAAAAAACTGCCCGTTACTATCGTAAAAATAACAGAAGCTCCTAAAGTCGATTTTCCATTTTTTTTGCAAAATTGGGCGCGTAAGCCACAAAATTGCTTTTTTTTCGCGATTTTTCGCGTCCCGCCACCACACCTGATTCACTGAAAACAAAACACGAATGAGAGAAATGCAATTTGGGCTCGGAAACAAGCGGAAATTAACGATTTGCGCTCCAATACACGATTTAATGATCTGGGGGAAATGCCGAATTTCAATGGGGAGAAGGAATGGCCGCCGGCCGGGGAATGACGCCTATATAATAGCCATGGGAATATATTTTGGGCCCGGCTGGTCACCAGGGGACCGAAATTCCGCGCGGTGCGCTGTTCCGATGAACTTCATTAGGTGCAACTAGCTAGCGGCTGCTGCTTTTTGGTCGACAACGGCCCGGTGGGTGGGTGGCCTTGCGCGGGGGGAGATCGGCTGGCGACCGTGCCGTGTGCGTCTGCGTCAATCAGTTTTTCACGTGAATATGCCCTACATGGACCTCGAAATGGGCGCCTGATAAATTGCTGGGTCCGAAATGGGGCATTGCAAAAGCTTGAGCAACGAAACGGTAATTAGATAGGGGCTGAATTTTATGTAAGACTAAACATGGGAATATTCTTGGGGTGATGGCTCAAGCCTGGACTGGGGCGTAGGTTTAGATCAAGGCTTACAAGGCTTGTTAGGCTTAAGCTTAGGTCAAGGCTTAGGCTTAGGCTTAGGCTTGGCTTAGGGGCTTAGGTTAGGAGTTTAGGCTTAGAGTTAGGCTTGGCTTAGGCTAAGGCCACGGCTTAGGCCAAGACTGAGGCTTGGCCTTAGTGATAGGTTAGGCTTTGGCTTAGGTTGGGCTTAAACTTAGGCCTAGGCTTAAGTTAGGTTTAGCTTTAGGCTTAAGGTTAGGCTTCGCTCGGCTTAGACTTAGGCATAGACCAGACTTGGCTTAGAATAGTCAGGAATACAGTTCAGAAAGGAGAAAACGCTTTCTACAGTAAACCAGCTTGCGCTTGTTTCGGCACCATTTAAAATACACAAACCTTTCAGGCGATTACTAGAGAAACAAGGAGCTCGTGCTCAAGTGTTGTTGAGCGCGAGCTTGTTGGATGCGCGAAGTCTAACTCAATCCAGATCTAAAAAATATACGCAACCAAGAATGGGTGAATCGACAGCAGTGAAAAAGCTTTGAGTCCCAGTTGACCAGCTGGTCGGTCTGGGGGCTCCCAGTTTACACTCGAGGTCAGCCGGTCATTCGCCCTCTACACCCCAGTTTCTTGGCCCAGGGCTAGTGGGCCAATTTCTTAGTTTGTGGTCTTGATTCTCGCCCAAAATCAGCAGATTTTTCTTGATAGCTTATCTAAAATAGTAAATTTTATTGCTAATAATCTTCTCACGATCTTCAAGACCATTGAATTTGTTTGGGTTAAAATGTGCAATATTTTCTGTACTTCTTTTAGACAACTGTTAGCGGAAAAAACCAAAAACATGATAAAAAAAGCTTCAGACATGAAGCCGAGCTTACTAAAGCTGTTCCTTGGCTTCAGCGGCTTGGTCAGCTTGGCCAAAAGCAACAGTGATGAGCCGACGATCACCTACGAGCAGCTGTATACGGCCGGGAAGCAAGCCTATACGAAGAAAGAATGGACGGATTGTGTTGGGTTTATGCGGCGGACCGTCGAGGATTATAAGTAGGTCGAATAGGCTTAGGTTAACGCTTCGCTTAGGCTTAGCGGCTTAGGCGGAGACTAAGGCAGGTTTGGGCTTAGGTCTCGGTCGACTTCGGCGCAGGCTTAGGCTTAGGCTTAGGCATAGTCTTAGGCTTGGGCTTATTAGGCCTGGCTTTGACTTCGTTTGGACTTGGCTTATGCTTAGACTTGGGCTCATGCTCAGGCATAGGCATAGACATAGGCTTAAGCTTGAGCTTAGGACTAGGCTTAAGCTTATGCTTAGACTTGACTTAGGTTTAGGCTTACGTTTGGGCTTAAGCGTAGGCTTAGGCCTCGCGTGGGCTTAGGTGAGGCTTAGAAGTAGATTTTATGGCGTTATATTCGAACAATATAATCCATAAATTAAGCTACTACAACGACGAGACAATTTGGTGTCGAGAGATGTGCGAAATGAAGTACCCGTCCAGCGCCGAGGCCTCCGGAATGGCCCTCACCCATCTGACGGCCCAAAAGGCGCTCTGCCTCTTTAGGTTTGTTTCGGTATTTCGGTTATATGTATTTATAACGCTTTTTTAGGTGTAAAGTGGAGCGACTCGGCGAAGACCGCCCTCCCCCGCAGCGCCATCTCCTCTGGTTCGAGCTCGAGGAGCGCGAGCCCTACCGATACATGCACATTTGCTATTGGCATGTGAGTAGAAATTGTGTTTTAAAGTTTTTTACATGTATTAATTAATTTGATGCAGATTGACAGATTTTGGCCGATTATAATGCCTATTTTCAGCTTGGCGACCTGAAAAATGCTGTAAAAGCGGCGTACACGTACCTCGTGCGAAACCCCGAGCACCAGGAGACCATTGAGAATTTGCAGGTAGGTAATAAAAACGGTTGGAGAGAGTATAGGTGGTACTTTTACATTATCGGGGGGGGGAGCAGATTTTTTCGTCTAGGTCGAGAAATTTAACGTAAATAAATATTTTGGGTTGTTTTTAGTAAAATTTAACTAGATTTAACGTCGAAAACTGTTTAAAATCGGCAGCGCTTTTAAAAAGTGGAATTTTTGGCCGAAAACGGTATTTTTGGTTCAAAAAGCGATATTTTTGCATGTTTAATAGAAATTTGTTCAAAAAGCGATATTTTTGCATGTTTAATAGAAAAAGTTTTGGCGTTTAATCTATCTAAAAAATAGTGTAAAAACCACTTGTGATTTACATTAGTTGCTAGAGAAGAAGGTTACCCCCGATAATGGACAAGCACCCAATATTTATGAATTCAATCATATTTTTGTATTTTTGAATAGAAGCTTGTAAAGTTTTTGCGTTAAATAATCGCAAAAAACATAAAACACTTGTTCTATTTATAGTCCCGCGATAATAGAATAATCCCCCACCCCAATAATGGAAAAGCACCTAAAATTCCATTCGTTTAGTTCTACATGAAGCAAGATGACTACGCGGCCGAGATGCTCGACGATTTTCAGAGGAAAGATTATGAGGTTTGTATGGAATTTGACGACAAATACTACTATTAAATAATAGTATAAAAGTAATATAATTATAAACATATTCAACGATTAATAAATAAATATTTAGACCCTTTACATGGACGGCGTAAACGCGTATCACAATTCGGATTGGTTCGGCTGTATCGATCGGCTGGAGCGATCGCTGGAAAAGGTTGGAAAATATGAAAACTAAAAATTAACAAAAACTAAAATTAAAATTTATCAAATTTTAACTAAAATTGTAAAATTTACCAAATATAAATTTATTTCCAGGTGCTAAAAGAAGAGCAGCGATGCCGGCTGGATTGCCAGGACAAGATTGATTGGAGCAGCGTGGAGGGCACGCTCGAGATGGACATCATTGAGACGAGTAAGCATATAGATTTTATCTTTTGGAGCTTTTGCATTATCGGGGGGGGGAGGATTTCTTTGTATAGGGTTTTTGTAAACTTAAATAAAATTTAACTAGCTAAAAACGAGCTAATGTTGCTCGAAAATGGCCCCTTTTTGGGGGAAAATAAAAATTTCTAGAAATATTTCCTCTATTTATGTTTATATCTAGAAACATTTCCTCCTGGGATTAGGCTTAGGCTTAAGCTTGGGCTTGGGCTTAGGCTTAGACATAGTTTTATGCTTAGGCTTCGGTTTAGCTTAGGCATGGCTCAGGATTAGCTTAGGCTTGGGGCTTAGGCATAGGCTTGGGCTTAGGCGTAGTCTTAAGCTCAGGGTTAGGCTTAGGTTTAGCCTCATGACCATTACAAATTTTTTCAGGCATGAAAGCATCGGTTCTGCGCTGTGCGCACGGCTGCTTCGACCGTTTGGGCTGGGTGAATGGCCGGAAGGTCGGTGGGCACATCATCTCGGCACACTTTGAATACATGCACATGTGCCAATATCAAGGTAATTTCGGTCAGTTAGCACTGGTATTAAGAGGTTAACGCTTTTTTATTAATTTTAGTGATGCGCGGGACAGACGCTTGTATCTCGGTGGCCAACTATCTGCTCTTTGACAACTCTCCGGCGATGAGGCGTAATCGCTGGGCGTACGAGATGCAGTACGGAAAGCCGGAGCTGTTTAGACCGGATCAGGTTGGATCAGGCTTAGGCTTAGGGTTAGGCTTGGCTTAGGCTTGGCTTGGCTTAGGCTCAATTTTAGAATTGGGCTTAGGCTTAGCTTCGCCTGAATTCGCTTAAGCTTGGCTTCAGCTTAGGCTTAGGTTTGGCTTAGGTTCAGGCTTAGGCTTGGCTTAGACTTGGCTTAGGCTTAGGCTTCGACTTGGTCTAGGCTTCGGCTTGGCTTAGGCTTAGGCGATAATTCAATTCCAGAAATACGTCGACATCCACCGAAAAATGATCCTCGAGCGGCGACTGCTCAACTATATTGAACGCGAATTTAAGGTGTCGAAGGCTAGTCAGGTATTTTTATGTCTGTAATAATTGGATATATTTTAAGATGGCTGCCGAGAGTGGAAAAGATCGGGAAAAATGGAATGAAGATGTCGACGACAAGGATCATTTCCCCTACGGGGAAGTGGGGAAATTGCTGACGGACGGCGAGTGTCGCGTAAGTGGAAATAAACTTTTGTTTTAATCTGAAAAAATAGATTTTTGAAAGGACACGACTTGCCCGGTCCTGTAAGGAATTTAGTTTATTATTATACCTTAACTGGTATGCATTGCTCTTATTTTTAAGGGGTTTTAAAGGAACCAACAATGCATCCTATGGATTTGATCGGCATTTGGAACCCGAAATTCGGAAATTTCTACAATTTATTGTAAAATTTGTAAAAGTGCATAATGTCGAAACTCATAACATCGAAATTACATCACATCCAAAGTCACGATCTCGTACTTAAAATGTAGGAATATTAAGATACCGAATTTTTCCACCGTAAGCCTCCCGGAAATTCGCCAACACGATTCGAAAAATTCCGATATATTGAAATACCGACACGATGAATGCCAGTATTATGCAATTTGAATATTGCGGCTTTCAAAATCACCAAATCTCAACATTTTGAAATGTCGACATTAAGAATTTTAATATTATGAAATTTCGACACTTCGAAACCAAGCCCGCATTCCAGGTGCTCCGCGCCCCGATCCAAACCCATTTGACCGATCTGCTCGTCGAAGAGTTGACAAAGCGGGTGACAGAACGGCTGGCTACAGGACTATCCCCCGAACACCCTCCACATGTCTCTTGTTCAACATCGGAAATGCACGCACACTGTGATCGGGCCCTTGTTTTGTCGGTGGACGAACCGAATTGCTCGATGTGGTTGCCCCCAGAGCATAAGGGTTGTTCCATTGTTTTTTGTGCGGTTTAAAGAGACCCGTAAGCCTGGGCTATGGATTTTCTTTTCCATCGGTTTCCTGTCACTTTAAAACGCGACTTTTGTTGCTCTTGTTGGTCATTAAGTCATATTCCCATCCGTCTTCTACCGGGTATTTTGTTCACGACTTTTTCGTGGGTTTTTGGAATCTCATTTTTTTGGAATTATGTGTTTCACTAATTAATAAATTTTTTTTGAACGTGATTCGTGAAAAGGCAAGATAACAAGCTTAAGTCGTAGGTAAGTGAAAGCTAAGCCTAAGTCAGGCTTCAGCTAAGCTTAAACCAAGCCTAAGCTCACCTAAGCGAAGCCGAAGCCCATGCAAATCCTAAGCAAATCCTGAGTCAAGCCTCAGCCGAGCCTAAGCCTAAGCCTAAGCCTAACCTAACTAGGGAAGTGCAAATAAAAAATCCAGCAAACCGTTTAGCAAAAATATGGGTCTGATAGAGTCGGCGACGGGGATTCCGAAACTGCAATCAGAATTTGCTAAACGCCTAATACAAAATAGTTATGAGCATTTTAAGTTTTGCACTACATAATCCGCCCTCCCTTATGAGCCCCTCTGAAAGATGGGTGTCCGCCTGTCGAGTGGTGTAGTGGCTAACCAGCATGCTTCTGAGGCGCAGGGTCTCTGGTTCGACTCCCCGGTCATGCAAAACATTTTGCTTTTTGGTCAAAGTCAGCAACCTTGGACTTTTTCAAAGTTTCGAAGTCGAAAAGGTCGTTCTCTTAATTTTTAAATTTTTGAAACTGATTGCAAAGTGGTGGCGGGAGTGTCAGAACTCTTGCGGATAGGGCACTACAAAATTCACTTTTTTTTGTAAGGCAGACCTAGACGCAGTCAATAATAAAGAAAATTTTAAAAAATCTAAATTTCGGACTTCGAAACTTTGAAAAAGTCCAAGGTTGTTGACTATGACCAAAAAGCAAAAAGTTTTGCATGACCAGGGAGTCGAACCAGAGACCCTGCGCCCCAGAAGCATGCTAGTTAGCCACTACACCACTCGACAGGCGGACACCCATCTTTGGGAGGGGCTCATAAGGGAGGGCGGACAATGTAGTGCAAAACTTAAAATGCTCATAACTATTTTGTATTAAGCGTTTAGCAAATTCTGATTGCAGTTTCGGAATCCCCGTCGCCGACTCTATCAGACCCATATTTTTGCTAAACGGTTTGCTGGGTTTTTTATTTGCACTTCCCTAGTAAGCTTAAGCATAAGCCTAAGCCTAAACTAGTCCAAGCTTAAAGGTACACTAAAGTCTCGTTGGTTTGGTTACCGGCCGGTAGCCGGCCGCGGGATAGCAAACAGGGTTACGGTAGGCGCTCGCCGCGGAGCAAAACCGAACCCTGGCTGCCAGCCTGGGGCAGCGCCTTGGACCAATAGGCCAAGGGAGAGACGGGAAGGGGGGAAGGGGAGAGGCGGTAAGAAGGGGCTGGGTCGGCTGCGGCAGAGAGCCCAAATTTCCTACCACGACCGAACTTTTTGAACGAGATTTTAGTGTACCTTTAAGCGAATTCAGGCGAATCTAAGCCTAAGCCCAAGTCTAAAATTGAGCCAAAGCCTAAGCCAAGCCTAAACTTAAGCCTAAACCTAAGCCAACCCCCAGCAATGACCAGACATCATGCTAAAAAACCAAAGGTGGGCGTGTTGTTCAGGTGAAATCGGAGATGCCGATAGGATTTCCAACATCCGGGTTCCCCCACGATCCGATGGCGCGCCCGAGCGGCTTCTGGGTGGACAGATTGCATAATTGAGCACCGGAAGACGGGGGGCTACGCAACAATCCGTGTTGATGGTGTTTTTCGATGAATTGCTTGCTTAAGCTTGGCTTAGGCTTGGCTTAGGCTTAGACTGTGAGGCTTAATTAGACTTAGGATTGGGCTTAGGTTTGGTTTAGGCTTCGGATTAGGCTTAGGCTTAGTCTTGCATGCCATTTTGCGTGTTCGACCCTTTTCCGCCTCTTTTTTGGTATGTGACGTGTGGCTCCAATTAGCCGGTGGCCCATATTCATAATTATGTTTGGCCTTCTCGCACCCGTCCGTGCCCCTAGGTTCCGTGAATTTTCGAAAACGCTCGGCATATATAGCACAGAGCTGCTGGCTGCAAAAGGGTTCGGTTTTGAAAGGTTTTGAATTTTTGAAGCGGGTTTGTTTTGTTTTTTATGGAAATGAGCTCTTTTAGAATTTTTTGGTGCTTGGGCAGCTTCGGGGGGTATTTATAAGGTAGTAAATAGCCCGCTGTTTCGCATCCCATTTTCCTAATATGAATAGAGTGAGAGAGAGAGAGAGACAGAGCGAGAGAGTCAAAGAGCGAGAGAGCGAGAGAGAGTAAGGGAGAGAGTACCATTTCCGGTCCAAATCCATCCAAATCGCAATCTTACACGATGATCTCATTACCGTACCTCTCACCTTTTTTTGGGTATATTTGCAATGACAACGCTCTATCTACCCAGCCGCAATACTCCCATCTCCTCGAAAATCACTGCAAATCCGCAGGAAATGCTTTTTTTTTGCGCTCGGGCTGTTTTGCCGGAATCGGGTCGGAATTTTGGCGGTGACCCGTAGAAGGGGATGGATGATCACAAATCTCGGCGATTATCCGTGTAGGCGAAAATAATCTTATTTTTGCAGGCAGATCGGAGCGTTCCGTTGTGTTACCATAGACATGCTCTAATTTTTCTAAAAACTTTATTTTATTGGCTCTGGTTGTCAAAAGTTTTTAAAGGGCTTTTTGGATTTTTTTAAAGTATAATTATATTTTACTAAAAACACTAATAACGAATTTTTTGTATTAATTAGTAGGCGTTTCTAGACGCGTACAAAAGTTCGGACTCCCCCCGATAATGGGAAAGCACCTAAAACGTATCATAAATTTATAGCTCGTCGATTTTTGTAGCATATTTACGCCTTTTCGCTATACAGGGTGTCCCAAAAAAAGTGCCCCAAGTTTGTCCCCAATTAACTCGAGAAGGAAACATATTTCACCGTGCGTTACCATGCCAGAATGCTTAAATATGTCAGGAATAGGGAAATAACTCAACTTGATTTTTTCGATTTTTGAGTACGCAACTGTACTATTGACGCTGGTTACGACCGAAAATTGTGCGTTCTTGAACGGGTGGTGGGAAAATTCTGATTTTTGCCCCAAAAATCGTTGGCATTTGTAGAAAGCTAATGGCCAATTATTAGAATTTTTGAAGCTCCAGTTCTTTTTTTACAAGCAAAGCAAATTTCACTGTTTTGTATCTTTTTACTTTTTATTTCGCAACTCGCTTCAAATACGCTGCCCATGGCTGATCTTTTGCAGATGGTATCTCCGAATGATAATCTTTAGCACAACACCAAATTTTACCTGATTCTATGGTATTTTAATATTGCTTGCTAAAACGTGCCCCAGAGGGATACTGTAGTTTTTGTTTTTCGCGTTTTTCTTTTTATTGTAAGCTGCGATTTCGCTCAAAATTTTACCATCGGTAAACAATTGTAAGGGGCAGCCATGGGCAAAATATAGCAAATTTCTAGCCACACACTTTCGACAAAGATACAAAAAGCTGATTTTTTAATTTAGCCACGGCAATTTCTAAATATTTTAATGAATCGGTCCGAAAACTACTATTATTTGTTTTCCTAAAAGATCGAAACGTTTCTATGGTGAAAGAACGAGAAAACGGCGATTTTCTGTTTTCTACAGTAACCCGCCTGGAGCGCGTTTTAGCATGCCAAGACAAAATTCCATAAAGTGACGGTTTTTCGATTCTAGACTGTTCTTTGGGTGATTGTAAGAGCGCCTGCAAAAATTACTTGATTCCTGTGGCAAATGACAAAGTTATCAGGGAAAGAGGAAAACCCCCCTCGGACCCCGATTTTGGACCCGACGCCCTGGCTCGAAAATCGAATTTTTGAAAATGAAAAAGGCACCCGGGTTTGTTGGATACAATTAAAGCACGCATCGAACTTTGTCTGAAAGCAGAATTCTGGAATGATCTGGCTGAAGTTAATGGTTGATTTTGATTTAAACCCCGAAAATAACGTTTTTGAAAAGCCGACTTTGGGACGCTCTTCTAAATTCGTTTGCCACGAAAAGGCTTTGTATTTGCATGGGTTCTAGTTGACTATCCAAGCTTGGTCTATGCCAGCAAGTTGGGGCTACTAGAGCTTGAGAATTTTTACGGCGCCTCGAATTCCGGGTATATTTGGGCTCTTCATAAATTTCTTTTAAGAGATTGGATGGCCCAATAAATTTGCAACTATGATCATAGAATGCGCCCATTAAGTAGTATTAAATAAAATTATGTCAATAATTCTAGCGGCGCAACTGAATTTTATAAACTGGCATGTAGGTCTGCGAAATAGCAAGAACCAACCGTTTTGGAGGCGCTAAAAAACAACCTTCCAAAGGGGTACGGTAGCTAGAAATTGTGTACATGATAGATGGATGCCAGTCCTACACAACGAAGCAAAGCAAACACCGAAATTCTATCTGCAATTTTAGAAATATTTTTCCAAAGTTCAGTTTCGTGACCTCGAAAGAATCCATGACCAGGGGGTCGTCAAAAAACTCAAAAATCCGCGGTTCTGAAAAAATTTTTTGATATTTTTGTGGGATTGTATCGAGCCTGTAGACATGCTAAAACAGCTTATTTGGAGGTTTCTACCATAGGTTTTTGTAATATTCGAAATTTACGAACTTTCTCCATATTAAATTTGAGCACGCTATAACTTGCCAACCTGACCTTCAAAAATTCTAAAATTCCGGATGTGCGTAGGGGCGATTCTGAGGTACCTACACTGTAAAAAATTGGAAGTGTTTGACCACCAGCAATCCATAGAAATGCAAACGAAGTTTTGCCGGAACGCACAGTTTTCGGGTGTCATTTGTATGGGTACGTCGCCAAAAATCGAAAAAATCAAGTTGAGTTATTTCCCTATTCCTGACATATTTAAGCATTCTGGCATGGTAACGCACGGTGAAATATGTTTCCTTCTCGAGTTATTCGGGGACAAACTTGGGCACTTTTTTTTGGGACACCCTGTATATTTTCGACGGGCTGATCTTTCATATCATCACCAGTCTCGAAGAAAAAAAGAACACCCCTCCCCCCGCAAAAAAAATTCGTTACGCGCGCACCATTTACTGAATGGGCCACTAATTTGCGTGGTCAGCGCGCGAATTTTCTCTCGAAATGCCGACACCCAAGCGGGGAGGCAAACAAGTAGCGGAAATTGGTCGGATATTCCGTGTCTGTACAGTTGACGCAGCTCAGAGACCGCGGTTATTACAGGAAATAGGCGGTGACGTTTACGGTAGTTTGGTCGATCAGATGGGACAGAAATTTTTCTTCCGTTATAGCTTGAACTGAATTTATACCATTTACCAGTGCTTTTGCATTATCCGGGGGGCGAAGTTTTTCTAAAAGTCTAGAAATTTCTGACGTAATACTAATTTTCTGATTCTTTCGAGAAAATTTTAGCCCCAAATTTTCTGTAAAAGGCCGGATGGCACAAAAAAAATGCTCATCATTGATCGAAAAACCAGAACAAAAAAAAATGAGCTAGAGAGCTGGTTTTTGTAGTTTGTATTACTTTGTGGTCCGGGTTTTATGTTTTATTTTTTATTTTTGAGCATTTAATGCAATTTTGGGAACTTTGGGACGGTTTGAAACTTGCAAAATCCTGGTTTTCCTTTCCTGCATTTTCTTTCTGGCTAAAACAATGTTAATGATTCTTTGCCAGTACCGTACGTCGGCCACGCCATTTTTCGTCATAAATTTTTTTCTGCTACTTCCGCCGTCTTTCGGTCGCTGAATTAGTTTTGTCGAGTGGAACGCAACATTAGCATCAAAGAAAATGGAAATGAGATTTGGGCGGGCGACCGGGAAGCGGTGACAGAATTCTTTTTGCTCTAAACCTATTATACGGAAAAATCACAGTATGACGGTGTTGATTGGAAAGTACGGATCGAGTTTGCCATGTTCATCTACACCACCGAAAACCCCGAATAAGTAATTAAAAGCCAAAATTATAAACGAACAGCCGTTGGCCAGAGATGACTCTCTGGCGTTCGGTGTTGCAACTTTCTAAATAGCGCTATAATATCGGCTGCCGGGATGCCATCTATTATTCCCATTACCCCCCAAGTCGACGCCATCCTCTGCATTCACTCGGCTATTCTGTCGTACCCCCTACTCCTGCTGTCGTTTTATGCATTTTTTTGAGGTAATCTCGCTCACCCTCTCTCTCTCTCTCTCTCTCTCTCTCTCTCTCTCTCTCTCTCTCTTTCTCTCTTTCTCTCTCCTCTCTCTATCCTCTACTATCACTCTACCTTTAATTAGGTTGTTTAAATAAGCTTCCCCCAAGATTCTTTGCTAGCTTGCCCAGTCGCTGAATCCTTTTTATCTTTCTCCAGTTATGCCGAATTGACAGTCTGTGTCCTCAAGAAGCCCTGCTAGCTTGCCTTGCTTGCGCTTCCTCAAGAATCATTGCTAGCCTACCTGTTGCACCAAATTTCATGTCCTCTTTAAACAAAAAAAATTATGCATATCCTCAAGAATCTTCACTAGCCTCCCTGATTAAATCGCAAAGAATTACTTTAGTGCACGGTCCCTTCCCTGTTTAAAATAATTCTGGGGCACATTTCCTTATGAACCCCTGCTGCCCTGAATCACAATCTGACATTCCCCCAAATGCCATTAATGCCGAAACCAAAACGTATAATCCGTACCCAATAATCCGCCTTTTTGTTAGATCATAATATTGAGTGAGGCTAGTCCATTGTATTTATGCAGGGAGGCGATGCTTGGTCTTTATGGCTCTCTCTGGCTCTCTCTCTCTCTCTCTCTCTCTCTCTCTCTCTCTTTTGCTTCAGAATTCTGCAACCTTCACAAAGCATACGACGCCATCGACTATTATGAATTCCAGGGGACAGTGGTTTCCCCAAGGGCCAATCTTTGAATTTTCCCAGTGATCTCACTAGCTTATAGACACGCCCCCTTTGGAATTCCTAAAATGTCTTTGCTAGCTTGCCTCTTGTCAAAGCCGTAGCCCGTGCCTTCCACGTCCCTTTAAACCCACCGCACCCCTGATTTTTCATCTCCCAACAATTTTCCGCCAAATGACGATTTCCAGCTCAGCTGGGATTCGTGGGTGAGAAGCTGTGGGCAAGGAGAGCACCCCCAAAAAAGCTCCCTAATCACGCGAGGGCATTTTCGAGGCAAGTTGATTGAAGATTGAAGAGAGAGAGAGAGAGCCAGAGAGAGAGAGAGAGAGAGATACTGATAGAATATTCCGCGCGACACAACCCACCGAACGGGGGGGGGGCACATCTCGTGTGTGTTCGGTTAGCAGGGTACGACACGACATGACGCATCGTTTCAATGTTGCAACAAAGTTTGGCCCCGGACTATTTTTGGGGGTTTAAGGGGCTTAGGCTTGGGCTTGGATTTAGGCTTGGGATGGGGCTTAGGCTTTGCTTTAGCCTTACTCGCTTCGGTGCGAAGTTTTTTTGCCCTGAATTTCGAATGCCAGAACTACGGAACCGAGTTTTGGTTGCATATTTTTGGATTTAACATTTCGGCAATTTTACGATTTTTTTCGGAAGTAAATAACATAACTGCCGCTCCCATGATCTGCACAAAACCGTGGGAAATCCGAGCTTCGGCCAAGACCAATTTGGCAATCCGTAGCCATTTCCCCGGGCGTTGAGAGCAGTTTCGTGCAAATAGTGACTCTGGAATATTATTCTCGAGATCCTAGTTTTGCTATCAGGTTTGAGCGAAATTTCTGACTGATTTTGAACAGATGGCCATTTACATACAGTTTTAAGCAAAGAATACTTTTTACGGTAACCGTATCATCGCTACGGGAAGCGGAAAAATCATTAAAACTGCTCATTACCATACTATTCTAACCAAATGGAAAGCATTTTTTGGCTTTAGCTCCCATTTGTATTCATTTAATGACCCGAAATTTACCCCAAATGGCTAATTACAGTAACCCAATAATCCAATAGCAGAATTTTTTGGAATTTACGACCTTTTCGGGTCGTCCCGGGACCCAAAAAGTGTCAAAAAGACGAAATACACTAACCCAAAAACGTTAACAGTAAGTTATGAACGCTGTAAAACTCGAAAAATTCTGTATAAAAATGACAAATACAGTAACCCGATCGTTCCAGAAGTAATTTTGATAACCTGGAAAATTTTCCGTTCGTTGCGAAACCCAGAAAATCGTCTAAAAATTACGATATACAGTAGCCCAAAAATCCTGTAAATTTTGGACTTTGAAAAGCACAAATAAGTGTATATAAAAATTATAGCTACCGTAATCTACTCCCAGGCCTAATTTTGAGAATTTTCCTCATTCCAGGTTTCCTCGAAACCCCAAAATTTTTTTTAAAGTTTTAAGAAAGCATGCAATGGGGTACTGTATCTCTAACTGGCAAATTGCCAAAACTGTTGCCTCTACCTTGCCAGTCCCTTTCAAATCCCAGATTACTCCAAAATTCAAAGCCATCCGCCCTCGCCGGCCACGTGCATTTTATTTCTTGTTTTGCCGCCATCTCCGATCTTGCACCACCCGCCCAAAAAACAACACATTTCTCATAGCGCGGCGGGGGGTGGGGAGGCATTTGCTCACGCAACTACTATAGATATAAGCTTTTCCCCGTGTTGCCTCTGAAATGGGCGTCCAGATGTTGGAGATGGATGTGCTGCCCCCTTGGATACTTTTGGCAACATCCGCACTCTGGCCACAGGGCTGCGTCATCTTTGGGCCTTACTATTTATGGGAGGCCCTTGGCTTCTGATGTCATCGTCTCCAGGAGAGGCTCAAGAATCTCTGCTAGCTTGCTTCGACCCTATATTAGTTGAATTTTCTGCCTTCTTAACTGGAATTCAGGATTTTCTTTATTACGTTTTATTCTTTTTTATTCTTCGATTTATTCATTTATTACGAGAATTTGCTGCCAGGTCGAGCCGCGTTCTTGCGTAGCGTATCGTAGCGTTTCTTTACGTAGCATCGCGTACAGTCTTGCAAGGCATGTCGCTCTATCGGTCTCTCTATCTCGTTTTCTCTCTCTCGCTCTCTCGGTCTCTATCTCTCTCACTCACTCTCTCTCCGTTTCACTCTCTCACTTCTGAACGTTTAAATGTTTTACGGGGTTGAGCTGCTGCCTTGAAATGCGTATCTTTGCGTAGGCCCTCGCAGGGCAAAGTGCACATGGCTAGCGTTGCGCATAGTTGGGTTGTATAGCGAACGTAACGTATCTTAGCGTACTGTTGTGATTATGCAGCGTCGCGCAGCCTTCTGTACATCATGTGTGGCGGTTGCGTCGCGTCCCTTTCAGCAGCATCAGTTCTTAAGACGCAAGGATACGGTAGTCGTGCTTTTGCTATTAGGCTTAGGCTTAGAGTTAGGCTTGGCTTAGGCTTAGCTTAGGTTAGAATTCGACATAGACATATGCTTGGGCTTGGCATAGGTATAGGCTTAGGTCGTGCCGTACTCCTCATAGTGACGCGTCATCCAAAAACCAGGAACCAGCCAACCATCCATTCGCCTTCTCCGTTTCCGGGCTTGATCTGGAGATATTGGCCTCCCGGGGTCTGGTCGGAAATGCCAAGTTACGTGACCCGGGCACCTCGTCATTCGGGCTTCTTCCTCCCTTTCCCCCAGTTTTGTCATGTCAGACAGAAGACGGGGGTGGACAGGAGAAGCTTCTTCCATTTCTTCCCTCCAAATCCACATCGCCATCCTACCAACCTCATCAATCACTACAATGCGCGCATGGACCCCCATAGAATGTGCCCTGGGGGCATGGAAAAAGGGGGCGGGTGGGCCCCCGGGGGTGTCTTTAGTGGCCCTTAAGGGTTAGTAGGAGGTCTGGTTTTGGTTTTTACGGTCTTGGACGTTGATCTGGGCATTAATGGGAGCTCTAGAGGTTTTATCAGTCTAATTGAACTAGTCTCTTCGTACTGAATTGTTACGATTCCATCATATTCCCTTCAAGCCATCGACGCCCGTCATTTTTGCGTAGCCTCTCGTAGCCCATCTATACCGTTTGCCCGGCCGAATTTCGCCGCAGGACCCAAATTTATTACTGCTAAATTAGCGGAAATGGCTGGGGGAGGGGCAGGCCATGCATCCCTAAAATACAGATCACGTCTCGCGTCACCCCCAAAGGGCCCAGAGAGGGCCCAACAGAACGCAACTTCCTGCATTTCCTGTTGCAAATTGGGAGAATCCATTTATTCACACGTCGCTTTGCAACATTTCAATGGAGCAACAGTGCGTCGCTCTCTTTTTTATAGCTTTCTCTCTCTCTCTATGTTTCTGTCTCTCTGTCACTATCTTTCTCTATAAATTTCTCTATAACTTGCTCTCTCTCACTCTCTCGCTCGTTTCCTCACTCTTTCTCTGTCTCTCTCGGTCTCCATCTCTCACGGCCCTCTCTCTTTCTTCTCTCCGCTCTCTCGCTCTCTCTCTCTCTCTCTCTCTCTCTGTCTCTCTCTCGCTCTCTCTTTTTCTAACGCAACGTAAACGCACTCGTTTTCCCACCTTCCCGCATCGGAAGCCTCAAGTATCTTTCCTGAACAGTCCGAAAATGCCGACAGTCAAAATGCCGATAATCATAATCCCGACATTCGAATTGTCGACGGCCAAAATTCCCATACCCAGAACTCCAGCATTCCGATATGTAGGTACGAGTTTGTCCGTGTCGAAATTTTGGCTTGTCGGAATTTTGTTACACAGTTTCCCTAATCCTTCCAGAAGCCGTTCGAACCCCTAGGAAACGATGATAATATTTCTCAGCTCCCCCGGATTGGCATCCAATAATCCGTCCCTCCACCCCGGGAGCCTACAAAAATAGGCAACAAATTGGAGTACGTGTACCTCCCAAATGTCGATGTCGGGCCAAGGCGTTCGGGTGGAAAGATTGCCTAGGTCGGCCTTTTCATTTTGCCCGGATTAGGGCCACACATTTTTGGGCCCCCTCACCCTTACG